CTCAGACACACCGTAAGGTCCTGGATTCACATGCAGAATCAATACAGAGGACACAAAGACAAGTAAATAACATCATACATATGAAGCCCAACATGTTACAAATAGCAGCAGTAAGATAAGTTGACAGTGAAAATAGAGAGAAGCTAATAGAGCAAACATGTCTTTAGCTGACTTACTGAACCATCCTGAGACAGCCGTTTTAAATTCAGTAATGTATGGCAACTACCAGTTTACAATATAATTATACTTATAATTCAATATTTCATTAATCCCATTAACACTAGAAGTAGTTACATTATTAAATGCCAAACACCACCAGTTACACAACTTGGCTGGCCAACGCACACAGGTCATGTTTTACCTGTTTGTGCTGTGACCGTCTTAGGACTCATGAGCACACCATCTCCACAAAGTGCCTCCACCCTGGCCTGGTACTGTTGGCATGGCAGCAGCCCCCTCACAGTGTAGCTGTTCATGAGAGTAGTACCCTGCAGCACACCTTCATGAAACACTCTGAACATGGAGATGGAAGAGGTGTTCCTCACCTCCCAGCTCAGGGTGTAGTTGGTGGGGCCAAACAATGTTTGACGCAAGTCCTCAATGTTGGAATGGACTGAGGGAGAAGCAGAAGGGGCTTTCACTGAAGGATAACTAATAGCTACTCTGCATGAAGTTTTAAATTTAAAAATGCTATTCTATAGGGAGATAAGTGAGTGCCAGTACGGTCAAAAATGTGAGTCACATACAAGAGTTTCCGTCATTCAGGACCATCTTGCTGTAGCGGGACTCGATTCCTGCCTGGCAAACAGTCTGTAGGCCAAACTTCACTCTGCTGCAGGGCTGCAGGTCAGATAAGCTGACCTCAAAGTTATCTTTGTGCCAAAACGAGACCTCGTCTGTGATGTGGTTTGTACCGTTGAGGTGGAAGGCAGTGAGAAGGAAGACCGAGTACTTGCTGTTCACAGGGCAGTCCCAGGATAAAGATATGCTGCTGCTGTTCCATGACGTAACCTCAAAGTTCTCTGGAACATCTGGATCTGACGAGAAACAGAACAAGAGCTACAGCAGCAGTTTTAGCATGTGTTGAAAACAACTGATAGCAGTGTCACTTAAAACAAAACAAAAAACCCCCAAAAAGCTTTGAGGTTTAAAAAAAAAAAAAAAAAAAAAAAAAAAAACCATAGTTGGCGCCATCTAGAGGTTGTTATGTGAATTTAAGGCCTTTAACCTTTGCAAATGTACTTTAATTAACTAAACATCACTCATTAGTCCATACCAGTAATAGTAGAGAGGCATGCTAAGGAGAGAGTGTCTGCAATCTCCACACAGGCCATGTAGAGGGTGCAGGGGTCCAGAGCAGAGAAGCGGTAGTGGTTGTGAGTGGTAACATCCAAAGTATGCGTGTTATAGGAGCCTAGTTCAACATGGTACAAAGTCACATTGTGACTATAGATGACATCTGGTTGATTCCTCTCCCAGGAAACCAGCAACATGGAGGGACTGCGGGACACCAGTTTGCAAGCGAGGCGCATTGTGTGACCTGAGGAGAAAAAAAATAGTTTTAAAGATGCAGAAAACTGCAGCAGTAACGCACACGTTCATCTTAATCATCATAATAGTTTGAATGGTAAACATTTTTACAGCACAACTGGGTGGCTGCAGCTCAGGAGGTAGAGCAGGTCATCTACCATTTGGAAGGTTGGTGGTTTGATCACTGGCTGCTCCAGTCTGTATGCTAAGTATCCTTGGGTACTGAAGCCCAGGTTACCCTCCAATGCATTCGCTGGAGTGCAAATGTTAGATAGAACAGGTGAAAAACACATGTTGTATGAAGAGCTTTGAGTGCTCGAGTAGAGGTGAAAAGCATTTACTTCAATGATATCCACGCTAGGGTAGCCTAGCTACAGGTCACGTGGTCTCCAAACAACTTAAATATCAACTGGTTAGATACTGGTTGGATTAAGTTAGCAGCAAACATCAATGCAAGGCAGAAGAGACTAGAACCTTTCCTGAATATTCAACATCAGTAATGGTCACTTACCTTCTTGCTAATAGTTAAATGACAAAATTGGCATCTTTTACCAGTTTATTATAAATACAGGGTATAAACATTAGGAAACAACTAACCATGTATAAATAACACCCTGTGGTTTTATACAATTCTGTTGCTAAGGACTATTTCATAGCTGGTTCAGGTGACTTCCCAGTTTTGCTGTCTAAAGTGCAACTATAGGAACGACACTCACCCAAAGCAAGGAAGAAATTTTCCTCCTGTTGGAAGTATACTGTTCCATTTTCACATGCAAACACTTCAGTGGGACTCAACAACTTGAGGAAATCCTGAGGAACGATCAGATCCCAACAGCAATCAAACTATGCAGTGAGGTGGACTGTGCATGAAATCTAACATAACCACTCATCTGTGTAAAAGTTGTTGTCAAAAGTACCTTAGTGGCATTTGTTGGATGTTGTAGTGGCTGCTTTCGGCCTCTGACTTTAGTAAACTTTATACCTTGGGGTGAGGTAAACACATTTAAAGGAACATTAAACAAGAGGTTGGGGTGTCAAATTAAATTGGGATTAAGAAGGTATGTTGCTTACGTGGGCTTTGGGGAACTGTTAGAGTCCATGCCTGGACAGAGCCACCATATTGGAGGGTTAGCTGGTTTTCAACACCCGGCGACAGAGTCACAGAAGTCACTTTGCCCACCTTTCTGATGGATTTCAATGATGTGCCATTGAGCCATATGTCTCCATTTTTCCTTCAAGAATGGGAAACAGTACACCTCATTTTCTCCTGTATATTACATGATCATTCCATGTGACTGATTAATAGCTGCCTGTTTATCGTCAGCCTTATTCAGACATGGGCAGCATAACATGATCCGGTCACATTTGAAGTTTTAACAAGCCGTTCTCTTTATCATCTAATACAGTAAGTCATCTTGGCTAAGCTCATTAGACCTCTTTGATCAAAACTAAACATAGTATATTTACTCAGTTACTTCAGTTGAGTAGTTCTAATGTAATAGTGGGACGTTTTGTCATTGGTGTATGAATTCTTGAGGTTGTAGTGACCTTAAAAACATTTGTTACATTAAACTTTAATAAACAAACATTAAGAATTATTTGATCATAATGTATGCAGTTCTGTAAATACAGGTACTTTTAATTAAGGTACCTGACGCATATTTTTCATGTTAAAACCTCTGTACTACCAACTTATTTAAGAAACTAAATACTTATTTCATCCCTTTTACATTTGTCCTGAGGTCTCTGAACAGCACAGGGGGAGATTATGCAAATCTATGAATCACTTTTACCTGTCCAGATCATTCCCTTTGCTCATCCAACACAACGAGAAGGAAATATCGTTGCAGCGTCCTGGAAGAAAGTCGATGAGAATACCTCCAGATGTCACGTTTTATTTTCACCATTTTACCTCAGCAACCAAACTCACCGAGCGATATGACATGAGGCACCAGGATGAAGAAGACGAACGAGTACTGTAAGGAGTTCCTGAAAATATTAGAAGCATATGAATCCGCTGAATTTGAGTGAGATAAGTTTGTATGAACCGGTAGTGATAAGTTATTTCCTTACATGTTCGTTGGAAATCCAGCAAAGGAAAGTAGGTCGCGTTTATTAAAAGAAGGCCGGGGCTTGAATCAGCAGGCTGCTAATAAGTGACAGGTGTGCACTTTCAGCTCACCTGCTCAGATCCTCGGTGACGGATTACTGACGTAAAAAAGTCTTTTTTATTTGTTAGAAACAGAAAAAGCCCGCCTAGTATTGCACCAATAGCGATACGTTGTATTATTCTTTATCTGCTAATGCAGAGGGGAAGACCACGAAGGATTACACAACTTGATTGCAAATGTGCAAATGTTTCCATCTCCTGTTCAGCGACCTGCCATCGCGCACGCTGGTCGACACTCCGCTATGGTTAAGGATATGATATGTACACGTCTGTTTCCAGGATTTTTTATAAATGTCTCAACAGGTGAAGCCAAGTGGGTCATACTTACCGATTCATTAATGTGTAGTGCATCACTTTATATGTTACAGCTGGAGATTATTTTAATTGCTTATATTCTGCTTTCCAGCTTTATTGTAATAATACGCATTCGTTTATTTATAATAACATCTTACTACAATCAATTATCGTCACAATGTTAAGTAATTAACACTTTGAAACAAAAAAGGGTTAATCTGAAAAAAAAACAAACCATACCATCTATATGTTTGATGGTGAAATTACACGAGAAACTGCTTCCATCATATAAGTGATTCTACAGTCTGAACTCTGGGTGCAACTCAAAAAGAAATATCACACTGTAATCATTATTACTGGAAACAAGAAAATTATCTAATCCCATACTTTAAAAAAAAGAAAAAAAAAGCAGGTTTTACGAATTTTCTGGATTTAAATTCGACTTTTAATTCTTTTCGAGAACAGCCGACATGCTAAAGATTGAGATCTTCCAAAAGGGGGAAATGTGTGTTAATAAAATAAAATAATAAAAATTAAAAATCAAAGCATACTTTTCTATGACATAACCCCAATTACAGAATAACTGTGGCATGTTGTTGTACATAAGGCCTGTAGATGGCACTGTGTACCTTGTGTTTGCTGTCCTCTGCCTGTAAAGAAAAGCGTATTAATAAATGTATTGGTTTTAATTATACATCAGTGACTGATAAGTCTGAATGGTAAAGGAGAAACAGATTTTTATATAAGCACAGAAACCGGCGTTCATGGAGCCCACTGCTTGGCTCATCCCTGTTTACCATTTGTGCGTGACTGCGATTACATTAAGCAAAGGAAAGACGACTCGTCCTCTATTAGTGGTCCTGCACCGCAGAGTCTGCATCCAGCTGTTCAGAGTCTACTGGACAGCACTCAACAGTAAGACAGAGCAGCTTTTGTCTGTTTAATCTTAATAAGGAACCAGGCAAATTGGAGTCACAAGCATGCAGAGTGTGCAGAGAGTTTCAGGCGTATGAGGGCCGCAGCCATAAGTCAAGTCAAATCATGATCCAGGCAGCTGGTCTGGGGAAGTATTAAGAGTATTCTATCACAATATGGAGAACTGGCACTGTTTGCTGCTGCTGTGCACACTGAGTTTAGAGCTTTCCTCTGGAGGAGTTACAAAAAATGATGATGACATCGACCTTGTCAGCTTTTTGAGAAATGTCTACCCCGAGCCGTTCATCATCAACCGAGACTTTGAGATAAACTCCGTCGAGGAGCTGGGATGCCCGGGGGACCCTGCAATCATACAGCAAACCAAGGACAAACCTGTCACTCAGGATACAGATGGGGCTGCTGGACCAGTGGTGATAACCAAAGATGGCCAGATCAAGGGGATTACTGTGGATAAGGCCCATGTATTCTATGGTGTTCCGTACGCAAGTCCTCCTGTTGGGGCTTACCGCTGGAAGCCCCCCAGACCTGTGAGTCCTTGGCACGGGGTTTATGATGCCTCCTTTCCCAGGGCCGCATGTATGCAATTCTGCAGTAAAGCTATCACTGAGGAGTGCCCTAAGAGTGTAGGTGTATTACAACCTTGTATTTCTTTATATCCTGCTACGATGTTTTATATCACTTTAATGTTACAGCTTGAGGTTATTTTAATTGCTTCTGTTCTGCTGCTTTGTGATAATACATAGCTGTTGTGATTAATGTGCTGACATGCTAATTATCATAAAATGACACTAACAGTATAACACTGAAATTTTAATTTGCATAGGCTTAGTGCACGCAAACTTTCACATGTCAAAGATATTTCATATCCAGTTCAATTAGACTGGTTAGATGTAGCAGGTGGATCAAAAGAGCTGCCACTGACAGTGTGATGAAGCCATGGATGCTAAATTCTGCACTTAGAGATGAAACCAATTTCATTAGAGTAAAAGTGAACAATCCAGCCCAGTGAAAGTCGTTAGAGTCCATGTTGTAAGGCTCACGTCACATGGAGCGGCGTCACTTTATGAGGCCATTGTTAATAAATTATATTTAGCAAAAAGATTCTCAAAGTGACAAATATCTATAAATAAAAACCTATGTATATTTGTTTTTTATATATTTAAATTGTATTTACAGAATACAATTTCCAAACTAGTACAGTTATTTACAATGAGGGAGAGCAGTTATGCTACTTTGCTGTATGCCAGATTTTTAAGGACAGCTGATAATAATCTTGTGTGAGTAGAAACGTAGTCAAAATCCAAATGTAATTTAAGTTAGCGATATTAAGAGTTTTTAACAACATGCTCCAGTTATCCATCTGTTTGTTTAAACCGGCAAACCTACCAAGACTATTAACAATATCTGTGTATATAAATAAGAACTATGTCCTTACACTAATACAATAAGCTTTCTGAATCAACTTTCTGTCTAAATATGATTTAAAAACATAACAACAACAAAAAAAAGTGCCAGCCACTTAAAATAACTGCAGAATGTATGTCGGTAAAATGACAGCAGATAACTGAGGCGATGAACAGTCTGCAGCTCAGGAGGTAGAGCTGCTCATCCAATAATTGGAAGGTTGGTGGTTCGATCTGGCTGAGATCACCAACCACCAACCAAGATACTAACCCCAAGCTGTTGCACAGTTGGAGTACGAATGTGTGTAAATGGGTAAATAAAGTATGTTATATAAAATGCTTTGAGTGCTCCAGTAAAGTAAGAAAACATCATATAAGAACCAGAACATTTAACAAAAAGTGGAGAATCCAAGCACTCGTATATGCAGCACTGGGACTACCTAACCTCTGAGAAATTCAACTTTATTAAAAACAACTAACAAACAATATCAATAAAATTAATTCAGAAAATGTGAGTAAGCAAACTGAGTACACTAACCAAGAGACGGTGCTCAAAGGGGACAAATGTCCTTATTCAGTCCTAAATAAGGTGTAAGAAGTATAAGAAACCTGCTGTGTGAGCCTACTAATTAGTTTGTACCATAAACACTAAATAAATAATTTATATTCTATCTGCAGTTTTTACCTTTCACCTGGCTGGCAATTGCCTCCTAACTCGTATCCATGTATCCATGTATCCGTGTATCCATGTATCCATGTATCCATGTATCCATGTATCCGTGTATCCATGTATCCGTGTATCCGTGTATCCATGTATCCATGTATCCGTGTATCCATGTATCCATGTATCCGTGTATCCGTGTATCCGTGTATCCATGTATCCGTGTATCCGTGTATCCATGTATCCGTGTATCCATGTATCCATGTATCCGTGTATCCGTGTATCCATGTATCCATGTATCCGTGTATCCATGTATCCATGTATCCATGTATCCATGTATCCGTGTATCCATGTATCCGTGTATCCGTGTATCCATGTATCCATGTATCCGTGTATCCATGTATCCATGTATCCGTGTATCCATGTATCCATGTATCCGTGTATCCGTGTATCCGTGTATCCGTGTATCCGTGTATCCATGTATCCGTGTATCCGTGTATCCATGTATCCGTGTATCCGTGTATCCATGTATCCGTGTATCCGTGTATCCGTGTATCCATGTATCCGTGTATCCGTGTATCCGTGTATCCGTGTATCCGTGTATCCGTGTATCCATGTATCCATGTATCCATGTATCCGTGTATCCGTGTATCCATGTATCCGTGTATCCGTGTATCCATGTATCCATGTATCCATGTCACACACGGCCAGAAGTATTAAATTCAAAAGAAAAAAACAAAACAAGATAAAAGTGACAACAAAAAGTGAAAAATTGAATGACCTGCATCCTCTAATGTCTCCAAAAAGGTCAGTGAGGATTGTCTCTACCTCAACATCTTTGTACCACTGGATGTGGACTTGAGCTCTCCTCTGCAGAGCCACCTGCCTGTCATGGTTTGGATCCATGGTGGAGATTTCATTGCTGGTTCTGCCTCCAAGCCTCTGTATGATGGACGTTTCATTAGTAACTTCACCCACAGTGTTGTTGTAAGCCTGGAGTACCGACTGGGTAAGAAGGATTACGTTTAAATGGACCCATTAGTGTGTAACAGCCTGTGTATTTGAATCTCAGTGCCTGTGTCACTCTATGATCCCACGTCAGATTTCACTATGCACACAGGGATAAAATTCAGATGAACTTTAGCAGTGGACGTCTCAAAGGCAACAACAAGAAACTCGTGGAATCACTTAGTGAAAATAAGAATTTACTTATTATAGAGAGCATGTGTGCGTCTGTGTGTGTGAGACAGTACGAGCCTGAATAATGCTTGTGTGCCACTTTAAAATGGCCGAGCCTGTTGGTAATTACTCTGCTTTCCTGCAAGACTGAAAACAGGAGCTCTGATATGTGAACAGTAATTTGGAGCTCGGAGGAAATGAATGTCTTGCCTGAGTCAATTACGTCTTGTTGATCATGTGAAATCCTGCATCATTAAAGGTGCATTTGGGTTCCTTGTGTCGGGAAAAGATCCTCACACATCAGCTGCAGGGAATTATGGGATCCTGGACCAACAGGCAGCTCTTCTTTGGGTCCAACAGAACATTGCTGTGTTTGGAGGGGATCCCGCCAAGGCAAGCAAGCACACAGACACACACACACACACACCTAAGATAATTATTTTAAAATGAGGCATTTATTAATAAGGTGGGAATAAACATTGTAAGAAAACAGGACAAAAGAAGAAAAAGGGGAAAATACTGAGAGAATGACCACAGTGGGGAAAATAGTGAAGCAGTTGCTTCCAACAGTTAAAGATACTCATTGTAAACTTTATGCTCAGAAGCTCCGACATATTTTCTCAAATTCATAAAGTATAAACATTTAAAGAAAAGTATAATCTCAGAGGGGAAAAAAGGAAACACATTTCCAAATTTGATAACTCACTTGGTTTGGTTTAGACCAAAAGTTTCATGCTATTTCCATATTTAATTCTTGGACTTTGCTAGAGTAACTTTTACAGTTTAAAGTCATTTTTGTTTATCTCCTGTCAAATGCAGCATCTTAATTAACCTTCTACTTAAAGCATGCTATTTGAACCTCTTCCACTTTTCTTTTAATCCAACTTTGTTGTGATTTGTTGCCCTTCACAAACAACAGATTGGAACAGCATTCAGGTGCCCTTAGATGGCCATTTTAAGGAGATCTGCTTTCAGTGACATCATCTGACATCACAATTCTTACCTTTTTCTGTCCTTCTGTTGTATACCTGCTGGTGTGGTTGGGATAATTGTCCTCTTGTAAGACCGAGGCCAAGCTTTAGCTGTCAGACTCACTTTTCTCTAGAATACTTTGGTAAACAGGAAAGTTGACTCAATAATGTGTCTGCAGAATAAGCCCAAATCATCACCTCTCTACCACCGTGCTTGACATTTTGTTTGAGATTTTTATGCTGATATGCTGTGTTTTGTTTTGTTTGGCAAAAACAAACAAACAAACATGTCAATGTCCATTATAGCCAAATATCTGCACTTTGGTCTCATCTGTCCAAAGGACGTTGATCCAGAATTCTTGTGTTTCTTTTTCAGATGCAACCTTCCAATACTTAGCCATGCAACCATGTTCTTTTTAGTGAAAAGAGACTTTCTCCTTGCAACTCTTATATTCCTTTATCATTATCATATTTACCATGCTAACTGAGGCCTGTAGGGCAATGTTTGTGGCCCACTATTGTTGATGCTGTTTATCCTCATATATACCTGAATTATCCAGACCAGCAAAGCGCCAGAACTTCTGCTCTTATAGCAGAAGTTTTTTGCTGATGAACAGTTTGATGCAGTTTGGTGCATTTGATTATCAGCACCGGTCTACTTTATAATTTCACTTTCTATGGGCATGCTCAGTTTTTCACAAACGTCTTCTACATTTTGGCTTAATTTAATTTTTGTTAAATAAATAATGACATGGTATAATATGTCCTCTTTTGTTGCTCATCTGAGCTTATTTTATTACCTGGTAAGGAACAGGTTATTTCTGTTACACCCTGATTGTCATGGATCGCTGTGTGGCAAGCAGGAGGGGGACCCAAATGCAAAACTCACAGACACGGGGATGAACTCGAGAAACACAGCTTTAATGCTGGCACGGCAGAACACAGGAAATACAAAACTAAACTGGGAAAAGTAAACTAACACTCTCAGGTAGACACAGGAAGATCCACACAACATGAGGGAGAACGCGACGCCGAACAGAGGGAGACGCAGACAGAAATACACAGAGGGTTAACGAGGAAAGTGGGAACACACGGGGAACACAGCTGACACAGATAACCATAACGAGACAGGGCGGGGTGAACATAACACTGACGGGAGACGGGCAGAGTCAAACAGGAAGTACAGAGGTTCAGACAGGAGGAGAGAGAGCACGGGGAGAACACAGACATAACAGGCTGGGGAAAACATGGAATAAAACACGAAAGGGGACAAGGGCTCATGAATACATAGAGGGGCACACAGGGGGTGAGAGTCACAAAGGGAAAGCACACAGGGAACAACATAACAGGGCAACTCAGGAAACAGAACCTAAACAGGGAACTGAATACAAAAATACAAGAGAACTAAGAATACTGGGCCAACACGGCCCAGGACCATGACACTGATAAGTTAAGCCTTTCTCAGGTCAAGCCAACTCCAAATTACAAAGTTTCCTTGAAGAAGCAAACTTGCTTTTCTTTCCAAGCTCCTTAGACTACGATCACCTGGATGTAGATGTCGTACATTTACTAAGCCTAACTTTCATTGTTCTGTTTGTATTTCGTTTGATATGAAATTAATATTTTTTGCAATATTAACAGAAATTAAGTTAAAGAATTTTAAGTAGCGACATTTTTTTAAAATCAGGTCACAGTATTTGGGGAGAGTGCAGGCGCTCAGTCGGTAAGCCTTCACCTGATGATCCAAAGCAGCAAGCCTCTGTTTAACCAGGCCATCCTGCAGAGCCTGCCCTTCTCCATCCCTCTGAAGACCAGGTGAGGAACTAACAGCTCAGGGCAATACTGGGCATGGATGTGAGATAGATGCATGCTTTGATTTAAAGCTGAGCATTAGATTACGTGAAAGATCTTGATCACATTTCAGGATGACTTCAAGCTGAAATGTAATTTTCTTTTTTTCTGCACATCTTTCCCAGACATGATGCCCTGAAACTGGGAAAAGACTTTGCTAAACAGACGAACTGCTCTGTGAGCGACTTTGTCTGCCTGCTGTCTCTCACTCCGCAGGCCATCCTGGCCGCCCAGATGAAAACAAGTAGGACGCCACAAACCCCAGATTTAGAGCAACACTCATTGCTGCCCACATATTACATAAGGAAGCAGGATATAGTATATTTGTCTGCAAATGACTGTGAAAAACATGTTCATAGTGAGATACTTGTAAACAAAATCATTATGACTGAACAATGAGCCTCTAAAGGGGCAATTAGAGTAATTTTACTGTCTAACAGCATTGTTATTGTTATTGATCTGTATCACTGTGATTACATCATCGACAGCAGTTTTCAGGATGGATGAACTCACGGTTATAGCTTATAATTGAGGCAGGAAAATGCACTCTGGAGAAGAAGTTTAGCTCCCTTCCTTAGACAAACAAATCACATTAATAGGCTTTTGAGTTTTTATAACACTGCATACGATGCATTGCTTAATATACTTTTCTCCCTCTGTGTTTTAACTTGCCAATCTGTTTTTGATCCCAGGTTCCAAGATTTTGAACCCATTCAGGTTTCTGGAGGTTTTTGAGACGTGGGGTCCGTATATCGATGGGAAGTTAATCAAAGAGCAGGCTGTCACTGCCTTTCAAAAGGGGCACTGGCAGAAAGAAAAGCCAATACTGCTGGGTAAGAGCAATAAGAGAAACCACATTGTATTATTACTGTTATTATTCAGGATTTATATTTTATTCTCTCAGCTTTCTGCTTAACTCCCACTGGTTCTTGTTATACAACTATTTGATATGAAAATTCCGACATCATGACAAAGCTGAAGGCAATGTTTGATTTTTAAGTACAGAGACAATCAGAAAAGCCATTGGGCAGAAGAATCACAGCAAGTCCACAGGCAACACAGACATCTACTTGTTTCTTTAGAGTAATGTTGTTTTCTGTCCTGCAGGTACAACGTCCGAGGAGGGGGTTCTGTTTGCGTATGGGGTCTTCAACAAGCCAGTCTCCACAGTGGAGTGCACCGTGTACATCACAGCCATCTTTAAACAACACACCCTACAGATCCTACACAAGTACCTGCCCCTGTACAGGGATGCTGACCACAGAAATATGCTGGCTCAGGTAAGAGGAGTTTAATACCGTCTTTTTAGTGTTAGCATTGCTCTTAAATTGGAAAAGAGTCTTTCACATGGCTGGGGAGGAATTTCGGCCTGCTTTTGTTTTGCAGAATTTTGCAGACGTTTTCAAACTTGAATGACCCGTTTAAAGCCCTGCTAAAGCATTTTGGCATTTCCTTCAGCACTTTCTGGCAGAGAGTCTTGTCTTGTAGCAGCCCCGATCATCACACTACCACCACCATGTTTGACTATTTGATATTTTTTTAATGAAATGCCAGAGATTACTGGACACAAAACTTGAACAAAAGTTCATTTTTGTCCCATCAACCCAGAAAATATTTTCACAAAGTCTTGGGGATCATCAGTTTTTAGCAAATGTGAGTTGAGCTTTTATTGTTCTTTTTAGTAAGCAGTGATTTTCGTCTTAGAACACAGATGCCATTTCTGCCAAGTCGCTTTCTGATTGTAAATGATGAACACTTTGACCTTAACTGAGACAACAGAAAACTGCAGTTGTTTAGATGTTGTTCTCAGTTCTTTTGTGGTCTCCTGGATGAGTTGTGTTTGTGCTTGGAGTCATTTTGGAGAGAACTTCACCACTGTTCAAAGTTTTCCTCCCAACGACCTTGTAAACTTTTCCAGAATGTTTTTCTCATCTATTCTCAAGTTTCCTCAAAATATGGCATGATGGTGGTGTTTCTTTGAGATTTTTTACTTTCTCACGTATGACTTTAGATAGCTTCTATCCCTCATTAAACGAAATCATCATTTAAAAAGTACATTTTGTATTTAGTAGTAGTAGTAGTAGTATTTATTTATTGTCATTGTCAAGAACAATGAAATTGCGTTTGGGGCTTCCATACAACCCACTATCTTTGTCTAATATTTATATATGCAAAAAAGAAAAAAAGAAAAAAAAAGAAATAATCTAAATGATCAAAATTTACACCTTTTACCACTTTAAATATATAAAGTGCACCATACTGGCAAATATTTAAAAGTGCCAGTATGGTGCCATATTATTAGGATGCAATGTTTGACTTTAAGCCTCAGTTTTATATAGGTAGGGCTGGTGTGCAGTTTAACACTGAAAACAGGTCAAATGTAGTCCACATGTAAAAGAAGTTCAATTTCTGGTTTGAACATGCTGGTTGGTGCGTAGGTCCTCTCTGTGCTAGCTTGTTAGTTTTTTCAACAGCTCTCATGGTTTTGATCTCTATCTCACACACTCATACTTAACAGGTGGAGAAAATCCATGTCACTTACATCGTCTTGATGCATTCTCAATCATCCAGGTAAGTCCATCTGGACGTAGCGTTTTCAGTTGGAGAAACATTTCGTCACTCATCCAGGTGACTTCTTCAGTCTCAGCTGACTGCAGGTTTCCAATCTTATATCACATAAATGGCCCCATGAAAAGTGGCAGGTTAGCCTTCTTAGACTGTGAGATTTCCATCAGTAATGGGGGACATCTAAAAGCTGACGTGTACCGGAAACCTACGCATATGGGTCAGTATTTAAGGTTTGACTCTCATCATCCACTGGAGCACAAACTGGGCGTCATCAGGACGCTACAACACAGAGCAAAGACCATCCCCACTGACACAGCAGCCAGGGAGGCAGAAGAACATCAAGAAGGCCCTGAGTAAATGTGGTTATCCCAGCTGGACTTTTGTCAAAGCTGGACAGGCACCTAAAGAAAGCTCCAGCCGATCCAGGAGAGAAGGACAATCGCTGCCTAAGCAAAAACCTGTAGTGATCCCATATATGTCAGGAGTATCGGAGCAGTTGAGATGCATTTTTTCTAAACACCGGGTCTCTGTGTCTTTTAAACCCCAAAACACGCTGCGCCAAAAACTGGTCCACCCCAAGGATCGGGTCCCCCGACACAAACAGAGTAACATAGTGTACGCTGGTAAGTGCAGGAGGATTGCCAGGATTTATACATCGAGGAAACCAAACAACCTCTGGCGAAGCGGATGGCACAACACAGAAGAGCCACCTCGTCAGGCCAGGACAGAATCAACCTTTGGAGACATGTCACTTACAGCTGTTTGTAGTAGTCTTTTTTTTCATACCAGCAGCATGAAGTAGCAGATTTAGATCAATAATTATTCATGACTGCTTAAATTTCCAGCGGACACTAATTTTATGATAAATTGCTTCAGATATTTGTAATGGTTAACATGATGGTTGGTAAGCAAACCAACATTGTCTGATGTTGGCATGTGCTAGCATAAACATCTTTGTGTGCTGTGTTTATCATTAATTTTGATGAGGGAAAAATGAGAAAACCCCCGAGCAGTATTCTGGCTGCGATTTTGATGAATAGTGTAAGGTGTCAGCCTCTGGGAGCGGGTCAGGAGGTGACACCTATTTAGTATTCAGTCACAGCTGACTGTGCAGTGAGGCTGTCCTGCATTTCTTTGTGAAGGGTGCTTCTTCACAGGACCGGGGGTCAGTGCAAATATCCGAGCATTGCTGGGAAATGTATTTTAAAGAAGCTGTTTTGAATTTTTCCTGCCATGCTACTGTGATTTATTATTGCTGTTCCTATATAAAGAGGAAATGTTTTCCCTCACTCATTAAAAGTGTAACCCCTAGCCTCCATTGCCAACCTTGAAATTATGACAATAATTATGGTTGCCTGCCAGAGACAAAGTTTTGAAGAGACCAAAGGCTAATTATCTAGAGTCCCTTGCTTGCATTTCCTCTGCTACAGGGTGCACTGGTTAACACTTGAAGAAGAGTTCACAGAAATAGAGAAATATTCAGTTCACAGAAGGGGAAGTTTCTGAAGCATGCTGCTTTTGATCCGACAAATTGCATATAATTAATATTCCTCCGTTTGCTGTGGCTTCGTTTCTATCGTTGTTCTATCTGGTGGCTGTCAGGAAAGTGTCAGGGAGCTTTACATTCAGCCAATAATTTGCAAGAACCTGCAGAGCCGAACATCTCTACAAACCTAATGCGCTGTCTGTGTTCAAGAAGTCAAACAGCTTATGTAAAAGAAAAAAAGGATGCATTTACATAATGAGCTGCATCTGAAGAGGTTTTGTTCTGTTCCATTCCTCCTCTTGCTCACAGACTGAACAGTAAATCCTCACACACACTCTGCCACACACATGCATCAATAACTACTCATTGCGTGGCTGTGTGAGGCAGGACATCACGTATGGATCGATAACCCTCCTGGCCAGTGCTTGGTGTGTAATGAGGACCCAGCTGTGTTGTACTGTCTGCCGCCTGTCTGTGTGTAATGAGTGATGGGAAACTGAAAACAATTGAACTCTTGCTGCTGAAGTTGGTTTGAAATAAATGTTGCATTTCCTTATGACCAGACTGAAAAGACAGGAAGATTTCACCACGCATCAAACTTTGGCATTATAAGTAACCTTCCAGATTTCAGTGGAAATCAAACAACATGCTTTAACGCTGCCTACAGAGGGAGCTACAGCTCCACTGTCTCTCATTCAGTATTTTTTTTCTCACCTCCATCATTTGTATGGGTGAATCATTGGGACCACCTGGAGTCAGGGAGGTTGTCTGCTTGAGATTCAGCTTGACTGCTCCACTAAGAAGCAACTCGTCTCTCCTGAACATCTACAATGACAGGGGGGACGAGCTGAGGAATCACAGATGAAGTAGAGGACAGGCTTCCAGAGGAGGAAGCAATGACTGGAGGAAGACACCCTGTTTGTATTAATGCGAGTAGAGTGAATAACAAAAACATCTCTTAGAATGACGTACTCTGATTGGCCTTCAAAATGATTATAAGATTGTAAACTCCATAAAGGTACAATCTCTTGCAGCCTGTGTTATACTGCATCAGCTCAAACTAAGTATATAAAAACAACTGTCACCTGAGTGTAATCTTAAATAATGTCATAATCACTGATGTTAAAAACTGTAATACGTTTGCTACATGTAATATGAGCAGTGTTAGTCATTGTGACTGACCCACAGAGAATTAGCTGTTGACTTTGCAGTTCCCCACTGAGTGTTTTAGCATCACTTACATCATTGTTTTGGTTCCTACGTCCAACAGCTATGGTTTAGTCTCACTGATGTCATCAATCTCATTTTCAAGTAGCTGCTTTCAGAGAGGGAGCTTTAATAAATCCAGAGTAAATAGCCTGAGGTATACTCAGCACTATCTGTCGGGAGCAAATAAAGTCAGGAACTAGCTGGCAAACATGCTGGAGATTTTTCCAGTTAAAACGCCAGCTATTTCCAGAAAGACTAAACAAAGCAAAAAATGAAATATCCAAAGTCAGAATGTATCTGTCCAAAAATCAAGATAAACTGCAATAAATACAAGTGCCAGATTGAGATTAAACATGCAGCTAGCCAGCTTTTTATCTTGCAATATGTAGTAGTACCATTACTGGTAGCATGTTTTCCAAAATTGTGGCTTTGAAGCAAAACGATACTGAGCCATGGGGGTAACTTCGACTTACTGAAAAGTAAAATATATATGTTCTACCTTATAAATAACCATCATCATATTTGCAATAATTCAGAATGAACTATTAGAGGTATAATTGCCACAAAATTAAAGAAGCATACTGATGACATGGCATCAGTCTTGTTTTGCCATTTTGAGCTGCGTTTTTCACACGTGTGACACTAATGTTTAGCGTTTGCTGCGTTTTTACTAACTGGAAAGTTTCTTTTTCTGTCCAAACGTATGTTTGGAAGACTTGGTTCCACACTTCAGTCTCAGTATGGTGTACAGAGGTTAGCACTGTTGCCAGCTAGAAGGTTTTGGATTTCTGATCTTCCAGCAGTGTTTGTTGAGTTTTCATGTTCTTCATGTTTCACTGTGGCCGTCTCAGGTGATGTTCTAAACGGGCTGTAGGTGTAGATGTGAGTGTTTGTGGTTATGTGCTGCCTTTTCCCACCCAAGGAAAATCATGCAAAACATTTTTACCTTTCAGAAAGATGCATTTATTGCTTGAATTTAAATCATAAACACCAATAAAACCAGCAAACCTCATATAT